GCAGCATCCATTCTCCTCCGTTCCAGGGACGTGAGAGGAAAACAGTTCCTCACCCTTGAAGTTAGTCACGACCATGTGAATTCCCATTGCTCCACTCTCCAAATCCTCCCTCCCTCACCAAACCCAGCCCCCACAGTGATATGGAGAAGCCACACATTTGGAGCAGCCCACAGTGATGTACCCACATATGGAGGGCAACCGCCCAGGGAAGACATCAGACCGCAGCAGACTTTGTACAGCCAGGCATAAGCCATTGCTGGGTTGAGCTGAGGAGATTTGGGCACCGTTTGATATACCAGCATAACTTGCCTCATCCTGACTGAGATACTGTCCCCTCACTGGGATATTAAAGAGAAAGCAGGACATCCAGTCTCGCTAATGACCAAGTAATGTGAAGTTCTAGAAGACAGCGAGACAGGTTTCCTAAGCCAAACTTTAGAGTTGGGCTCTTACATCAGCCCTGACCCATCCGTCCAATTTCTGTGCGAACATAGAGCACATGTTTCTGTTGCCATTAGCAACCCCGAATGTTTGGGTCCTTTCTGTTCCACCTCACGCCTCACTAGTTGCTTTTAACATCAACAAATATTTATTGAGGATCCACCATGTACAGAGTTAGATTTCTAAGAGAAAGAAACCTAATTTATAAACTCCTCCGTGTTTATACCGTTGTTTGAGAAGCCGTCTAGCTCTCCCTCCTCGAGCCTTCTGAGACTTGGGAGGGGGTTATTTTTTCAGTTACCCTTTCCACACTCTTGGTCTCTGTTTGGCCCTCACTTGGCCTGTGAGGCTTTAACATGTCAGCCAAACAGACTGCTCTTAGCCACTCTGTTTCCATCAAACATGGGAGGCCATTGCATTCATAGGAGAAGTGCCCCCCAAAAAGCCCAAAGTGGCTGGCTCCTGAAAACCACCATTGAGCAAAAATTAGAGAAATAAGCCTGGGTTTTGCCACTGAAGACAGAGAACTAAGCCATAGGAAAAACAGGAAATAATATGAGCTAGACCTAAGAAACTTACTTGACGGTTAGGTATATCCCAGGTTGTTTGGGGTCATTTCTGACTCCATCATTCATAATTGATCTAGACCCTTATTGAATCCCTCTCGATACATATTCCCAACCTATACCAACATTTGGTGCAACATGTTTCATTGGCTCCTGGATAGTTTCAATAAAGATCTAGGAATAATAATAGCTATTGTGACAGAGTTCTTATCACTTACTGAACTCTGGGCTACACACTCTTGGCATATGCAACACATTTATTTAATCTTTACAACATGTACCGTGGGATAGCTATGAGTGTCCTTATTTTACAGACAGGGAAACAAAGGCTTAAATGACTTGCCCAAGGTCACAGATCCGATAGAACTGATATCTGAACCTAAGCCTGACTCTTGCAGCTGAACTCTTAACCCCCAAGCTCTACCCTGCCACCAAAGCTATTCCTTGGTAGTCCTTGGAGCCAAGATGTCCTTGGGCAATGGGTCTGGGTTCATAGTAGCTCAGTTAGCTAAGTCTTTGCTTCTGGAGCACCCACCATCCAGCATGCAACATACCAGCCCAGTCACACTTGGAAAAGTAATTGAGAAATTATGCTTGCACCAAATCCTAACACTTCTCTATAACTTCTGAACTTCCATTGCTCTAGCCACCACCCTAGCTCAGGTGCTCATTCACCATGCTTGGGGTGTTTTCATATTTTTAAAACACTCATGTGCTCTTACTCTTGCCTCATTCTAACTCATTCGTTGTGCACACTGTTGAAAATATAATTTTCTTCCACAAAAAGAGCTCTGTTCTTGACCGTGACACTCAAATGTTTTATAATTTAAGTGCTTTCATATTCACCACATCATTTTATAGCTTCTTTTTTATTGTTGTTCTTTTGTAGAGATGAAGAAATTCAGACCAACCTAGATATAGACTTGCCTAAGGTCAAATAGTGAGTGATGGGAGGAGCTAGAACTCAGTTTTAGACCTTATGACTTCAGATCCAATATTCTTTTTAATATTTTTATTGATTTTTAGAGAGAAAAGAAGGGAGAGGGAAAGAAGGAGAGAAACATCGATGTGAGAGCAAAACATTGATCAGCTCCCCCCTGCACCCCTCAACTGAGATCAAGCCTGCAATCTGGGCATGTGCTCTGACTAGGAATTAAACCAGCAACCTTCTGTTGCACGGGATGATGCCCAACCAACTGAGCCACACTGGCCAGGACAGATCCAATATTCTTAATAATAGATATGATTTCTGTTGCCTCAAAATGTCATTGCTGAAAATGGGCACCTAAGATTTCCATCATCTCATGCTCTGATTTGCAAGAGCAAACTTCTCCATACCTCATACCCTGCCCAACCAACTGAGCCACATTGGCCAGGGCAGATCCAATATTCTTAATAATCTACATGACATTCTGTTGCCTCAAAATGTCATTGCTAAAAATGGGCACCTAAGATTTCCATTGTCTCATGCTCTGATTTGCAAGAGCAAACTTCTCATACCTCATACCTATTTACTTCTAACACTTTCATAAGCTCTAGCTTCCTGTAATTCACTCCCAAATTTGCTGTACAGGAAGCACATCCACAAATTTCTGTGCAGCTCCCACCACTCATTCCAAACTATCCTTCATCCTTCATCCTTCAAAACTCCCAGCCTCTTTGATGCTTATTTTCATACAACCTACCTCCTCATCGGGCCCCTTCAGCCACTGATGACTATGGCTTCTGGCTTGTGGTCTCACTGTTATCATTCTTAGTAACCTCAGCATCCATGTGGATCTAACAGCCTAGTGACTCCCAGGTCCTAGACCTTAGTACCAACAAGCATTCCTTCAGTGACCCACTACCATGCCTGCACCCATTATGCCCTTCATGCCTTGCTTCCATCAGTACCCAACCCAGACCTCATGGTCCAGTACTCTAACCATTCCTAGTAAACACTCTTAAATCTCTTCCATTGATCTTGTTTAGCAAACCCCCAATCTTGGTTAAATTCAATTGTCCATTTACACAGCACCGAGAAAAATACCGCAAGAGAAATTCACACAGTTGTTCTGAGTCATTTCAAAACTATAACTACAGATGTCAAATTGGCACTCAACACTGCCAAATATGCAACGATATACTTCCATAGTAAATTCACTTTCTGTTTTCTGAAAGATATATTTTGTGCCTTTTTCTTTCTTCTGAAATCTCCAACATCTCTCTCAAGCTGTTGATTGGAGTACATATGTCATAGAGAAAATATTCAAAGTCAAATTAGTCCTGCCTTTTCCTTTGATCTCAAGTTTACAAACTCAGAAGCATCTGTACCCACACGTTCTGACTTCTACCCATTGGCCACCCTGGTTCTCCCAGAGAAGCATCCCTGTTCCTACCTAGGACAACCTCTCCAATGCTGCCCTGGCTTACAACGCCTTTTGTTTTCTCAGGTCTTCAGCCTTAAGAGTCATCTTCCTCTCTTCTACACCATCAAGTTCTCCTTATCTGTTCTCCTTCTCAGCACACAAATATGCTAAAATCCTATCTTAAAAAATAACACACAAAACATAACAACCTCTGCCTTGATCTCTCACTGCCTTCTAGTCACCATCTTATTCCTCCAATTCTCCATCCCAGCAAGATCCCATTCTCTCATCTCCCCATTGTTCTCTCTTCAGCCCACTCCAATGGGCTTGTGTCCCCATCGTTTCACTGAAGTGGCTCTTATCAAGGTCACCACAGATCTCTATCTCAACAGAACAAATGATCAATTCTCTATCCTCACTTTACTTGACTTCTCAGCAGCATTTGGCTCCTTCTTGAACAGTTCTCATTTTTTCCTTCCAGCTTTCTGGCTGTTCGTCTCCCCCAGGGATCTGTCCTCCTCCCTCTCCTCTTCTCTTTCGATGTTCTATTACTAAACAAGTTCGCTCTGTTCCATGGCTTCAAATATCCTTTTAATTCGAATGACCTCAAATGTCTGTCTCCAGCTGGAGTCTCTTCCTGAACTCCAGATTCATAGAGCCAAGTATCTCCTAATCTTTCCACTCAGATGTTCAATAAATATCTTAAACTTACATCACCAAAACTTCTCTCCCAAATCTTTTCCCATGAAGCCTTTCGCACTTCATTAAATGGTAAACCAGGCCAAATCCTGGAGCCATCCTTGATTCCTTTCTTTCCTCACGGGCTGCATCCATGTCTCTGTAAGTCCTGTTGGCTCCACCACCAAAACATCTCCTAAATCTGCTTGCTTTTCATCTCCTCCATGCTACAGCTTACATCCCAAACACCATCTTCCCTCACCAAGAGAGCTATACTGGATCCCTATACGAACCTTTTGATGGCGAACCTTTTGAGCTTGGCGTGTCAGCATTTTGAAAAACCCTAACTTAACTCTTTGGTGCCGTGTCACATATAGACATTTTTTAAAATATTTGCAACCATAGTAAAACAAAGACTTATATTTTTGATATTTATTTTATATATTTAAATGCCATTTAACATGAAAAATCAACCAAAAAAATGAGTTCGCGTGTCACCTCTGACATGCGTGTCATAGGTTCGCCATCACTGCCCTATACTGTAATGTCCATGCCATAGTCTGAGTGACCTTTCTTATACATTAGAGGTCATTCTGACTGGGCTCACATCCTGCCCACATGCACACATCCTGTGCTCTAGTGATGAACAACTGAATTTCTTAGATCCTGTGTGACAATTCAGTGCAAATATGCCCTCCTTTGGGAAGCCATTTCCAACATCCTTCCCTACGCAGGGTGGATCTGTAGCTTTCTCCTTAGCCACCTGTACATTATACATAATAATTAGTGTAGCTACTGATTATTGAGCCTCTACTAATCCTGACATCATGTAGACCTGTAGGCAATAACAACACAGTGTGTAAGGATACAAGTTTTGGAGACAACAAGATTGGTTCAAAACCCAATCTGTCGTTTCCTTAGCAGAATGATCTGGGGCAGGTTACTTAAACTCTCTATGCCTCAAGTTTTTCATCTTTAATATGGAGATAATAAAACCTGTGACAATTCAGTGCAAATATGCCCTCCTTTGGGAAGCCATTTCCAACATCCTTCCCTACGCAGGGTGGATCTGTAGCTTTCTCCTTAGCCACCTGTACATTGTACATAATAATTAGTGTAGCTACTGATTATTGAGGCTCTACCAATCCTGACATCATGTAGACGTGTAGGCAATAACAACACAGTGTGGAAGGACACAAGTTTTGGAGACAAGAAGATTGGTTTAAAACCCAATCTGTCCTTTCCTTAGCAGAATGCTCTGGGGCAAGTTACTTAAACTCTCTATGCCTCAATTTTTTCATCTTTAATATGGAGATAATAAAACCCCTTTCACTGCTCTGTTGTAAGGATTAATGAGACAATGTATAAAGTAGCCTTAGTCGGTTTGACTTAGTGGATAGAGCATCGGCCTGCAGACTGAAGAGTCCCAGGTTTGATTCTGGGCAAAGGCACATGCCCGGTTGCAGGCTTGATCCCCAGTAGGGGGTGTGCAGGAGGCAGCCAATCAATGATTCTCTCTCATCATTGATGTTTCTATTTCTCTCTCTCTCCCTCTCCCTCTCCCTTCCTCTCTGAAATCAATTAAAATATATTTTAAAAAATGCTTAGTATGGTATCTGATACATCATAAACTATTAGTAAGATGAAGTCATAATTATTGTTGTAGTTATTAGACTTTATATATATATCATTGAACATCTTCCCCCAAAGTCTACAACTTTTCATCATCTCCATTGTACAACTAAACAAGTTAGATTACTTGCCCAAAGTCATATAATTAGAAAGCAGCAACGTTAGAGTTTAAATCCCAATACAAAGCTCCATTATAGCCCTGATGACATTGTGTGAAATGCATTTACTGTGTACCCAGCTCTCCACGTGGACGGATGCTCCCTGAGGGAAAAGACTTCATCATTGTTCACATTTCACGTTAGGGAAAGTTTAAGAACAAAGGAGCAAATGAATAGCCATGTTTCAGCCAAGGCAGACTGATGGCTGTGAGACTCCAGTCCTGGGGCAGGGGAGGTGTGTCTGTGGTGGTCATGGTGGCAGTGGAACAAGAGCCATCACAGGCTCTTGGGTCACTCACTCATTGCTTCTATCTGCACGTGGATGAGGGTTTCGACGTCGTCCTGCAGGGTCTGATGGGGCTTCAAGGGGATGGGCAGGTAGCCGTAGTGCTCTCTGTTGCAGAGGTACATCTGGATGCCTGAGGACCCAAGAGAGGGACAAAGCCGACCAATCAGAAAACAACACTTGTTAGTTCTGTAGTGATAACTATGGGAAAGGAGGCTGGACTGTGGCTGGTGCTGGGTTTGGCTCTGATATTGAACAAGTAGCTGTTTCAGGCACTGTCTGCAGACCTCAAAAATGCTCCTTTATTAAGAAAGTATAACACAGCATTGGGGTCTAATAAAAAGCCTAGGCCATTCTTCAGCTCAGAGGAAATTGATTTTTTTTCTCTCTAAAGAACAAGCATAGTTGTGGTCTGAAATGAACACTAGAGGCATGAAGGGATCAAAAAGGAGGCAAGGAATTCCTGTTCCAGAGAACAGAATAGAGCACTGCAATCCACCAACAGGAAATAACGAGAGACTGAGGAATAAAATCCATATTTGATATGAAAGCAAACAGGAAAATCCTGTAAGGCTGACAGATTATGAGAGCTAAATCTAGGCACATGTAGAACAAAAAATAAAAAGCAAGGAAATTTAAATTCTCCATGACTCTCTTTAGTTTTATTTTTTCTCTGAGCAGGCTCCCTGAGAGCAAGTTTCCTTGAGTTGGCATCAACCAATGGACATGAAACTTCTAGAACAAATTCATAAAGGAACAAAAGAAAGTCTGCATCTCAAGAGGTTCTCTGTGAAGAACCTGCCAGAAACATGCCACAGCCTCTCATATTCAACACTGGTCTTATAGTCCCAGATGGCTAGTTCTGAGAGTTATATTACACAGCATCTGTGTTCAACCAGATAGCTAGGAATGTAGGGATCAAGATGGTCTCCTAGGGACGCAGCAGCAGACACAGTTTTGACTAATGAGAAGATTGCTTCATTAAATGAATGAGTCTGCCAAGCTCTGGTCCATGTGTCCAAGCTTCTGACTTGTTAATTGCTAGAATCATCTATGTTTTCCAGAGAGAGAACTACCTGCACAGAGCCTTCTCTATTTTGTGCAGATGAGATTTCCTCCGGTCAGCGGGATCACCTGCCAAATCAGCTGTCTCACGGCATTAACTGAAAAGAACGGGGAAGAAAAGAGCTTCTATCCTCTCCTTTGCTGACTCTGGCTGAATCAGGGTTGGCCCACCCATCACTGTCACTTCTCTTGCCTTCACCGAGTGAAGTCATTAGCTCTGCTGTGCGCCCGCACGAAAGCTTCTGGGGAACTTCAAACCCAAAGCTACCCTCTTGCAAGCTATGATGAATTCAGAAAGGAGAAGAAAAGTGATTTCAGGTTTAGATTGCCTCTCAACCCTTCAACTTTCCAAAGTTGCCATTCAGCTTTCCAAAGCTTCAGTAAAAAGAGGACATGAGCCCAACTGAGCTATCCATCAAGTGAGGAAACAAGAGAGGCATGTTCAAACATGCAAGGTCATAAATGTTTACTTTCCATCACACGGTCTCACCAAGTTACTGGATGATGTGGAAAAAGAAGAAGGAGAAGGAAGAGGAGGGGTAGGGGTGGGGGGAAGAGAAGTGGAGGAGGATTACAAACAACAAGGAAGATGGGACACAGTAAAGAGGACAGTCAATGAAGAAGAGAAGAGAAGAGGGTCCCAGAGTGACAGCTGTGGCACCACTCAGATTAGAGTGTATCAAAGGCTCCAGGCCAGGCATTGTCACCAATAAGAACAGCAGATAAATCGGATCATTCTAGAAACCTAAAACACTAATTCAAAATAATAATCTCATCCCTATGTTTACTGCAGTGTTATTTACAATAGCCAAGCTACGGAAACAGCCCAAGTGTCCATCAATAGACAAGTGGATAAGAAAGCTGTGGTAGACGTATACAATGGAATATTACTCAGCCATGAAAAAGAATGGAATCTTACCATTTGCAGCACTATGGATGGACCTAGAAGGTATTAAGCTAAGTGAAATAAGTCAGTCAGAGAAAGACAAATACCATGTGATCTCACTTATATGTGGAATTTAAAGAACAAAATAAATAAACAAAATAGAAACAGACTTATAGACACAGGGAACAGACTGATGTTTGCCAGAGTAGAGGGGGTTTGGGGGACTGGGTGAAAAAGGTGAAGGCATTAAGAAGAACAAATTGGTAGTTACAAAACAGTCACCGGGATGTAAAGCTCAGCATAGGGAATGTAGTCAGTAATACTGTAATAAGTATCTATGCTGCCAGCTGGGCACTGGAAATATTAGGAGGAACACTTTGTAAAGTAGCTGATTGTCTAACCACCATGGTGTGCACCCGAAACCAAATAATGTTGAATGTAAACTGTAAAAAGAAAGAAAGGGGGAAGGAGGAAGGAAGGAAGGAAGGAAGAAAAGAAAGAAAGAAAGAAAGAAAGAAAGAAAGAAAGAAAGAAAGAAAGAAAGAAAGAAAGAAAGAAAGAAAGAAAGGAAGGAAGAAAGAAAGGAAGAAAGAAATGCAGACGTACTTAGCTATGGAAAAAAATGTCACCATTCTAACATGAGTTTTAGACAATTAAGGGTTAAATTTTAAAAGGAAATGTGTTGATAACTAGATAAAGTCAATGAAGGAATCTGGTGTTCTCAGTGAAAGCTGCTTCTGGGAAAACAAAATTCTCTTTGATACTGCACCTTAAAGGACTGTAGCTACTTACCTTAGGAAGATATCCATCATTTTCTTATACTCACATAGTACCTTAATATTGTAAATTGATACACTTATCTTTATTCTGATGAAAATTCAGAGAGGTTATGATTGGCCCAAGGTCATACAGTAAGTCATTAGTGCCAAACCTCTGTCCCTAAAGGCCAATGCGGAGCCTCTTTATCCACCCAGAATTTGGAAGCCGAGCCTCAGAACCAGTAACCACACAGGATTGCCATCCCTGCACATGGGGGCACTTTTGGTCACTACCAGTGATGTGCAGGAGGCAGATCACCCACATCTTGCCTCTTTTGACACTGAAAGGTGACTGACTGGCTGGCGCCAAAGATGGTTCCCGTGGCCACGATACAGACCCAGATCACTGGCCACAATGGGAAGTGAGCTCCTGACCCTGCCCTCATCACAGCCACAGAGACTTGCCTATGACCCCTGTGCCCTCTTCTTGGGCTAGATGGGCAGCCAGACCCCAGTGCCCAGGCGCACTTGGTCTGGCCCTTTTACTCATCACCCAAATGTGGTGATGCCTGAAGTCCAAGCTTAAAGAGTAAGGATCAAGGTTTGTGGCTAGATGGTCCTAACTGGGACACACAGACCCTTTATTTCCTTCTCGACAGTTAAAAAATGACGCTCCAATGGATGAAGCACAGCCAGGGAGCTTCACAAGCGTGAGAACAAAAGAATCATATCATCCTTCATCAAGACTCTTTCAGGGGGGAAGTGCTTTGCGTTGGATCTAAAAATGGAAGAGCCCTGAAATACTCGATGGCTGCATTCACGTCTCTCCTGAAAATACTTCAAGAAAGTGAAAGGGCTACCTTAGGACCATGCCACCATCCGGGAAGCTTTTCCATTCCTCCAAATGACAGTCATTCTTTCTGTCTTGTCTCCTGGCCTGTTCACAGTTTGTCCCACCCATCTGACCCTCAGCTTTCACTATTTCATAACTATATTTACGTTTCCACATGGAAAGGTAGTATCTCCCCAAACATGGAGACTAACACGATGGTAGGCACAAGAGGAAGGCCTAGAGCCCTGATCCCCTCACCTTCCTTTTCTCCCTCTCGTTTCCCCAAAGAGGGGAATCACCAAGGAGCTTTTGGGCCTCTGCATCTGCTTTCAGTGTCCTGGGAGGACCCTTGGGAAGTCTGGCCAATAATGAATGAAGGCTGAGTGACTAGGACAAGCGAAGGGCAGAGCTGACATATTCCTTCCCGGCCTGTGTCGCTCTCCTAGCCACAAATCCAGTTCTTGGTTTAAAAGAATTATCATCATCATTTAGCGCCCGGGTCACCATAATGCCTTGTGCAATGCTGTAAAAGGGGACTCTGTTAGGCGAGGATCGTTACTGTAACTGTTCACAGTTCACTTTCTTGGAACGTCCTTCCTTCTAGCTCTGAAGCAAGGCCTGGCACAAATAGAAGGAATGAGAAGGCCCTGCGTCTGCTTCTTATCCTGGGAAGGTCAGAGCCAATCACAGACCAGGAGGAAAGAAGCGGTTTCATTAACATTGACATAGAACCTTCAGGAAAACGTCCAACCCACAGGAGAACAAGATCCTTGCTTTTGCCTTGACACAGGCCTAAAAATGCCTGCATCTGGCCAAGGAGTCTCAATGGCCTTGTCAGCCAAGGGGGAAAAAAACCAGCCTTCCACATTCCCACCAAATATTCTCATTCCTACCAAGTCTACAACACAGTCGAGTTTATTCACCATCCGCCTGGTTTCTAAACTCGCTTTGGCTAGTGGCTAAGGGACACATTTCTGGCTCCTTGATAATAGGACCTGGCTTCCGTCCTGAGAATAAAACTTTGCTTTAGGAACGTGGGTATCTTCCTGTTGAACTGCTTTGGTGAATTACATACCCCCTGACGGCATGTGCAGGTGACACAAGAGAAATAACTTACATTCCTACTGACTTGTCTTCTTTAAAAGACTTACCCTCGCCTCTGGAAATGCTTTCCTAGTGGTTCATGAAAGACTTAAGCCCGGCTTTGCCTGACCTTCGATGGGGACTGTGGTTGACACCCCAAATCTACTCTCTCCTTCTTCTAGAGCAGGAGAATGGGGCTCTTGACTGCACAGACAACATTCTGAGCCCCCTACGTGTTGTCCTGTGACTAAGTGCTGGTTAATGGGTTATGCAAGGAAGTGACGTGTTCAGCTTTCATGAGTACCCTTCAAGGGGAAGACACTGCCGTCCCTCTCTGGTTTTCACTCGATGGCTGGAACGCATCCCTAGTAATGAGACATCTTGGATCATACAATTAAGGATGATGCCTCATGGAGGGTGGAGAAGCAATGGAGAAGGATCCTGGGTCTCTGAAAATGTGTGGATTAGAGCCACTGCACCAGCTCAGACTTTTTAAAGAAGAAATAATCTTCCATTTTTAAAGTCTGGGTTTATTTATTTTTTGCCAGTGCTGTTTTGGTCTCTGTCAGTTTCTGATTAATAAAAGGGCTCCTACAATGAACAAAGCTATGCAGTAGCACCATAGAGAACCAATAATTGCCCCTGGCTACCACCACCACCACCCTCCTCTCACTGCTCAGTAACAAGAGTGGATTCTGGGTAAGGGCTCTTGGTCGTTGGTGCTCACAGGGACAGCAACACAGAGGGTGCTGGGGTGAGAACTGCAGCAATCAATTGCCTCTAACACTACCTGCAGAAGCCCTTAGAAACAAAACAAAGAAGCTGGTTATTTGCAGTGTTTCCCTGGGGGCGGTGCCACCCAATACCAACAGTACCTGCTTGCCTGCTGGAGAAGGCGAAGACGATGATGTCATCAAAGGTCCAGGTGTAGTCCTGGTGCGGGGGATAGAACATGAGCTTGTCAGAGGCTTCCTTCCTGAGGTCAATCAGGAGTGTGGAGTGGACCATGGGGACGGGAAAGCAGCCCGTCCTCTTCCATTCTCTGATCTGAAGGTAGTCTGGGGTCCGTTTATAGAAGCCCTGCAAAAGAGAAGCAGGGAGGCTATGTTCTCTCATCTGAGACTTCATCTCTCATGGTCATCTGCCAGCCGATTCCTTCTAAGTCAGCACCAGTTAGGGTGAAGTCCCCAAGCAAAGTCACCTTCACTCTTTTTATCTTGGCCTAAGAATTTGGATTGAGCTCAAGAACTGCTATTTACAGATTAAATAATACTAAAAGGGTCCTGTTATCAGAAATAATTTTGGTTTTAGCCTATCTCTTGATTTAATAATTTCATAGAAGTACATTTTATGTTGACTTATGATTAAAGCATGAGTATGAAGAGGTGGCAAAGCCAAGCAATGAAGGTGTCTGCTGGCCTGAGTTCAAATCCCACCTCTGCTACTTATTGTCTGCATGTATTGGTCAGAGTACTCAACCTAGTTCCTCGTCTGTAAAACAGAAGTGATGGCCCTTTCCACTGCATGGGGATTTCATAGAAGTACATTTTATGTTGACTTATGATTAAAGCATGAGTATGAAGAGGTGGCAAAGCCAAGCAATGAAGGTATCTGCTGGCCTGAGTTCAAATCCCACCTCTGCTACTTATTATCTGCGTGTATTGGTCAGAGTACTCAACCTAGTTCCTCGTCTGTAAAACAGAAGTGACGGCCCTTTCCATTCCATGGGGATGCCTTAACAATTCAGAGTGCTTATAATAGTGTTAGCACCAAGAAAGCATCATTGGCTATTATATTTTTAACTCAACATGCAGTACTGAGACATAGAAATAGGGTCTTCTTTCTATGAAGTTATTTATTCAATATTCTGGTGGAGCTGTCACTGCTCAAAAGAATTCCCCTTTGGAAAGTTCCTTGTGGGCAAGCACACAGGGCAACCAATCCCTTGACTTTGTGGCCACATTTTCTGTTGTGATGTCAGGGCCCACACACAAGGCATTGCAGCCTCTTTCACGCCTCGGGCAACCCCTTGCAGTGGTTCTCAACCTTCCTAATGCCGTGACCCTTGAATACAGTTCCTCATGTTGTGGTGACCCCCAACCATAGAATTATTTTCGTTGCTACTTCATAACTGTAATTTTGCTACTGTTATGAATCGTCATGTAAATATCTGATATGCAGGATGTATTTTCATACTTTGAAAACTGTGGTTCATTATAGGGAGTATTATTAGTAGTATAATTTTTTATTAGCTTTCAAATGAAGGATCACTTAATATTCTTAAGTTAGAACATGGGTTCTCCTAATACTTCAACTTGAAAACATTTTTTCCCAAGGGATAAAGGGAAGGCTGGTCAAATACAAAGTTCTAGACAGCTTAGGCACAATATTCTCAGAATGAGAAGCTTGGAAATTTCATGATGATGATGAATCACTGAATATCCCGGGGAGCAGAGAAAGGGAGTTAACATGCCTCCTGCAGACAGGCAGAGGTGAAAACTGTGTCTTTTTTCCCCACATAAGTTGAATGTTGTTGGTAATAATTTTTGTTCACTGGCCAGACAACAACACTAGGGTCGCTTCTTTTGGATGCTCTGGAGACCAGGGCCTGCCTGAAGCACATGACGTCATTGACTGCCCCAGCAGAAGCCTGACGGGACGGAGCCAAGAGTAGAGGGGTAGAAATTAGAATTGCCCCTAAAGTGTTCAAATTTTTACTTTAAAAAAATCCTCACCCGAGAATATGGTTATTGATTTTAAAGCGAGAGGGAGGGAGGGAGGGAGAGAAACATCAATGTGAAAAACATTGATTGGTTGCCTCCCACATGCACTTAATATGGTTATTGATTTTAAAGCGAGAGGGAGGGCGAAAGGGAGGGAGAGAAACACCAATGTGAAAAACATCGATTGGTTGCCTCCTACATGCACTCGACCAGGGGATCCAACCCATAACGTAGGTATGTGCCCCGACTGGAAATCGAACCCCAAACCATTTTGGTGTACAGGATGATGCTCCAACTGAGTCACACTAGCCGGGGCCAGGTTTTTACTCTTATTGTACAAAATAAGTGAGCAATTTCTCCTATTTGCTCTTCATGATGAAAGCAAACAAGAAGGTAATTGAAACCTGGAGGCTGCCGTGCCTAGAATAATCCACCCTTACGGCTGATGTCACAGCATAACTCATTAAAAACAACCGAGTGATTCTGCCACGCGAGACACTGCAGATCATTAACTAAGAGTGTGTGGATTCAAATGCACCTAAATAACGTTCCAGACCAAGAACTGAATGACTTGTACAAATATGAACTTAATGCTTCCCTAGAAGAGATGTGGCTAATAACATGCATTTGAAACCTCTTGGGACTGTGGGAAATACTGTAGCGAAAGAGGAATGCCTCGTCCAGTAGTGTGCTAGAGCCACTGACTATTATGTTTTCAGGAACTGTGCAAGCCAGTTGACATGTTGACAGCTGTAAAAATAAAAATCAAGTTAATGCCACCATCTAACAGAACCGCAGATGTCAGCTATGCATATTTTTAATAATTATCTCATCAAGTAGCTACACTGCAATTTACTTAACCTTTCCCTTAGCTTAAACAACATTTAAGTAGTCTGCATGGTGGGAGTAACTTACACCACGAAAACTGGCAAATGTTACCAATCAGGATTTCCCTCCCACACGGAGCCAGTTATTAAACATTTATCATTTGGCCCCAAACCAAACAAAATATAAAAGAGGGACTCACAATTTTAGCCCCTTGGGTCTGAGACCACATCTAACATATAGATATATTTTTCCTTAAGCACATCTTTATTCTATATTGATATATACGACATTGATCAGTTTATCTCTTGCATTTATTAACTAAAGAGTAAAACTATAACCAGCCGTAAGCATTCACTGTAACAGATCTCTAGACTTTAAAGATTTTACAGTGGAAAAGAGAGGTGATGGAAATAAAAGAATTCTGATTTTAACATGAATTTTGTAAAAACAAGCTACCATAGCAGTTCTAATTATTGGATCTCTTTAGAAATAAATTTGGCAACATATATCAAAGGTCATAAAAATATTTATACTCTTTGACTAAGTAATTCCACTTCTAAGAAGCTATCCTAAAGAAATTATATTAAATACAAAAAGTTATACTAATCATTACGATCCTTATAATAGTTAAAAGTTGCAAACAACTTAAATGTTTTTAAACTAAGAGAAAGGTTAAGTTGCACTATAGCCACTTGATATAGTTATTAAGGAAATGCACACTGTTATCTATGATGTTAGAGTGGTGGGGGTTAACATAATATTTTTATCTTTTTTCATTTTTAAATTTTTCTATAGTATTCTTATGATAGTGTTAATGACAAAAAAACACACAAACAAAAACAAAAAAATCAAACACACCACCTATTAAATTTTTTTAAAAAATCTCTGAGTCAGAAAGAAAAAAAGTACAAATCCCAGCAAGCTTTATTGGTTCATTTAAGCTTCTAATGCTAAAGTCACTAGAATGTTTTCTTCATAATTCATTAATTCAGAAGCACTGACTGGGTTGTGGCATTGGATCTAGATATATCTCCCTTCCTGAAAATGCTTGCTCTGAAATGGCATGCATCTTTCAAAGGAGGAAATGAGAAAAAGGTTAATAGGGCTACTGGTGACTCAGAGCCGCCTTGTTAAAACTCATGGCTTTCACTCCTTAGCCAAAGACTTGCCTGAGGTGTGATTCCGCACCAGAAATTGGAGTACAGGCCCCGAGACTCCAGCATGGGGGCCACGATGGTTTTGTTTTCGGCAATCAGTAGATTGAGGGTCTGTGGATTAGTCAGGAAGTTGTCAACATCTATGAACTAGGAAAAGAAAAAGATAAAGTCAGGTGAAAAGATACTTGTCGTCATGGGTTCAAGAGTAACCTCCTGAAGGATCCACCTCCCGCGGATGTCAGGTGAAAAGATACTTGTCGTCATGGGTTCTGGAGTAACCCAACACCTCCCGCGGGTCACAGAGGCTGGCTCATGAGATATGGCACCAGTTATCTATGTTCTCCTTACGGGAGCTCACTGCACAGGATGGCTTTCATTCAGACTAAACACACTTAGTCTAACTTCTACATGTTCAGCTCCGCAAAAGGCACCATGCAATGAATTGGTGTTACCACTCTGGAGACACAGGCAACCAGGACCCAACCCACAATATTCAAAAGAGAAATGGGAACTATAGCTGCTTAAGAAGCTGTCCTTTCCAGTGGAGAGAGGTTCATGGAGGACGAGGATGGAACAACATATTGACTCCTGATCATCAAGTCCAGCACATTCTGGACCACCTCACAGTTCTAACGGAAGTGATGGAACCTCTAACCGAAGTGATGGAAATTCACCACCAGAGCCCAGCATCATGGGGAGCAACCAGGAAGCCAAGAAAGAGATGCCATTTCCCCAAGTCACTCAGGAGCAAAATGGAACGGCGTTTCAGAGCTGTTCAGTTGAATCTCCTTTTATAAATTAATTTAATGCCTCTGAAAAGTTATTAAGACTATATTATTTTACCTACAGCATCTCCCATGAGCTACAAAGATTTGGATTTTTATGCCTGTTCTGTGAAAGAGAGTGAATAATTCAAGAGCTTGTTTGCTTACTGAAAATGCATGTCCGAAGTGGGTCTGAGATGAAATCCGGGTATTTCAATATTAAATTCCCAACATTTCCTCCGTGCCTTTATTAAAAAGTGGAGAAGGTAGGGCCTAAACATAAGATTGTTTTACTTGATCCCACAGTCTTAGTTTTCGGACAACTGATCTGGACATATTCTAGATAACAGTTGTCAAGAAATCAAACATCTGATTTTACCAGAATGTAGTCTGACCATTTTTCCCTCGCAGTTCGAAGCGCTGCCTGTCGTAGTTTCATCACGTGGGCAAACCGGGAGGCCGGCCAGTGCTTTGGACCAATTTCATCAGGATAAGACCTAAAATAATAATAAATCATAGTAGTAGTAGTGGCAGCTTTAATTACTGAGTGCCTATATATTCCAGGCACTATGTAGAAGCTCACTGAATCTTCCACTCACCCTCGCTTGAAGTAGATACTATTCTTGTTAGTATCATCCCCACATACACATAAAGAAACTGGAGCAAGGAGAGAGCAAAGACTTCTGCTTACCGTACACAAGAATCTTTATGTGAAATAGTTCAGTGGGTTCTAAAGGGAACCCGCCGAGTCCCTACTAGGTAAGTAGAATTGTTTCTGAGTATCCAAGAGGTATTGGTTTCAGGACCACCATGGTTACCAACATCTGTGGATGCTCAAGTTCCTTCTATAAAATGGTGAAGCATTTGCATATAACCTGCACACATTTTCCCATATATTTTAAATGTTTTCTAAAGATTATTTTGAATACCCAGAACAATATAAATGCTATGTAAATAGTTGTTATCCTTTATTGTTTAGGGAATAATGACTAGAAAAAGTTTGTACATGATCAGTATAGATGCATTGTAGATGCATTGTAGATACACTGTACACACACCAGCAAAAAATGATAATTTTTTTTCTGAATACTTTTGATCCACAGTTGAATTGCAGATATGGGACCCACCTACTGTATTACTATTCTCCCCATTTCACAGATGAAGAAATTGGTATAGAGCAGTTTGAGCCATTTGCTTAATGCTATGTAGTTAATAAAGGGCACAGTCAGGATTTAAACCCAGGCATAACCCCAAAGTTCATGTTCCTAGATACTTCTTAAAATGCATTTTTGCCATCAGGTACATTTGGAAATTTGTAGCATAAAAATGTGAGTTTCCCAGGGGAAAGGATGCCACAGAAGCGAACACATGGCTGTATCCGGGTGAAGGGAGGTCATGGAGCAATGCGTAGTCCTTGGGATCTCCATCAGCATCCTCAGAAAGGCCGGCCTCAGGCTCTCTCATGGCCACACAGGCCGATGGGTGCTGTGCCCTCGAGAACCCTTCTGAAAACTCCTAATTCGCATGGGCATTGACATTGCCACAGTGGCCCAAACCGGCCACCACTTCAAGGTCTTAGAGCTGTGCTGGTAGTACACGAGCCTCGGAGAATGAAAAACCGCAAAAACTATACAAATAGGATGAATAAAACTATGTACTGCACAGAAATTCTCTGGGATGCCTTCCCCTATTATTGCTTCAAGGAAAAGCAGTGCAATTCCTGTTTTGCTGAATCTATCACCCCCTCCCAAATGCCTCTCCTAATATTTTTCACACTGACCTTGGCATACAACATATTTAGTCAAAAACCGGTTATAGAGAAAATTACCAGGAGGCAAGGTAGGAACATAAAGTCTTTCAGGGCCATTCTAATGATGCCAAATTCCATTATAAGGGACTCCAAAAGGGTGTTCAAAAATGTTTATAGTGTTCAAATTTTGTAGTTAAATGTTGCTTGGTATATGGATCACAAGCTGGGATTTGAGATATGTATATACATGCATACACATATAATAAAAGAATTATATGCAGAGAGACTAGAAGGACAAAAATTTGTTCTGGAATGGCACTTAGCATACAAATTTGGCTTTCAATAAATGACTTATCCTGGGCAAAAATATAGGCAACTCAATTCATTCTACTTATACAGTTCTGTAAGCTGGAATTGTAGTAGCCTTGGGAATATGTACAACAGTAATATATTTACTCATTCACTCATTTGTTCAACAAGTGTTAATTTTGTGCCTGCCAAAAACTGCACTGGGGGAAATATAATTTGTGTACTTTAGCCCCTGACAAAGAACTCAGAAACTTGGAAAAATGCACAGGTTATATAGTTTATGTTCATGAAGTGTACGGTTGTATCTAAAAGAATGATGGAAAAAATAAGCAACACACGTGTTGAGAGAGAGAGAGAGAGGGGGGGCTCTGAAACTGAAATGACTGGCAACAGCTTTCAGTAGGAGGTGGGATTTGGGATAAGAATTGGTTATAAAGAAAGAAGGATCTTCTAGGAGAAGAAACCTACACCAGCAAAAGCTTTGGGTTGAAAATAAAAGGAACATTCTAGAAAAGCAGGCATTTTTGGGCAGAAGAATCAGGAAATGTGGGTGCATAGGTATGGGTGCTAAGTTTTTTAACAGAAAAACTAACCCATTAGTATTTTAGATAGATTGATTTGATAGCAAGATATGTAGAATGACTTGAAGATGGAAGCACCTAATTGGTCTGGTTAAGATTAGAAATAACCTAAATGCCCACCAGTAAGAGATTGATTATATAATTATGGTATTTCCATACAATGGATACTTTGCGGTCATAAAGATAAAGAAGAAGCTACTTAACTATAGAATGGTTACCAAGATATGGTAAGTGAAAAAGCAAGGTGTATATAAAAAGTATACACACTTTTCACTATGATACCTCAAGTAGAAAAGGTTTATACTCAAAATGTGAATCAATATTATCACTATTTTAAAACACAGACCGCCACGGTGATTTACTTGTGAACTCATGAGAACTGGAACTTGGCTGGGACCTGCTGGAGTAAAGAGGAAGGGAGGAAGATAAAGATCTGCCCAAGGAAGAAACTTACTAGAGATGCAGATGAAAAACAAAGAAAGGTCACAGGCGCCTCCAAGGCTGGAAGCCCGGATGGCTGGAAAACTGGTTAAGGGAGGAAGGGCCCGTAGTGAGTTCACAGAATGTCCTCTTGCTACTCACTCAGGCTCATCCATGGGCCTCCATTCCACGTAGTGATAGAGCCTCTGTACATTCTTCAGCCACTCCCTGAGGATTTCTGTTGTGTTATCCACATTGTGATCAGTGGCTGCCCTGCACGAGAGAAAGCACAACAGGTCAGGTATGCCATGCGAAGGAAGCGGGGGGAAGCCAGAAGACCCCAGATTAAGTGACAGGAGAATGACTAGTCCTAAAAACTGTACATAAGAAAACGATCCTCTCACAGTCCAAAAGGAACAATATATTTCTAAAGAGAGAGAGATACTACTTCAAATCATCCTGTGTCATTAGATTCTTAAACAAGGCTCGGCCAACAGCAGAGTAAATGGTGGTACTAAAACGGTGTATGCATGAAATGAATTAAGAAGCTACAGTAAATTCATTACTCTTCTTGGAAATCTTCCTGTTTGCTTTAATTTTCATTTATCCAAGATATAAACTCTGCCTTTTAACTTCACGAACAATTACCCTTAATTTAAGCAGTAATTCAGTTGCATTTTCATTTCAAGTTCATTTTTGCAGGGCCACAACAAAATTTCTAGCCAGTGCTTCTTTAAGCACATCCAATAGAAGGAAAAGCCACAATAATAGTTCCCAGGATAAAGCTCTAAATCTAAGGTATCCTCACAGATCCACTTTAGATTAACTTCACTTATAAGAGTACCATCGAAAGCCTTCAAATAATGCATACAAAGCTTATTTCTGTTCTACCTTGAGAAGTGTAACAAACTGATCCACTTATAAAGGTGCTTAGCTCGCCTATTCATACAAAAATATTTTCATATTGTATCACAAAGCAAACTCACACTGTGTATCAGATACACATCTAAAACAAAGTCAGAGCAGGTAGAAATGAAGAGATATACCAGTCGTGGAAAAGAAAGAGGGAAAGCATCATATAAGGTAGAATTCAGGCCAAAAAATTATAATTTTAAAGGATATAATTCACATCAGAGATATAATGAATGTGAGTATGTTTGTACCTTGATATAGTACAGGGGATGGCAAAGATTTTTCTTTAAGAGCTACAGAGTAAATATTTAGGCTTGCAGGCCATACACTCTGTCCCAGCTACTTCCTCTGCCATTGTAGCAGCAGAGCAATCATAAACACACAAAAAGGAATGAGCATTCTTGTATGCCAACCAAAACTTTATTTACAAAAGCAGGCAGCTAGTCTGCAGGCTGTAGTTTGTGAAATCCTGATATAGTGGAAAGTTAGAAATTGCAAGGAATTCTCTTCCAGTGGTAGATGGTGCAAATGGAAATGAAGTAAACATACAGAGAGGACCTATAGAAAACATTAGAGAGACTCTATCATCTTCTCACGTTCACATGGAACAGGCACAAAAATTGATCAACAATTATATGCCAAAGAAATACGATGATATTGAAATAATATCAACAGCATTCTCTGGTCACAGTGCAATAAAACTAGAGATTAGCAATAAAATAAAATCCAAAAGCATTCCATTAAAAAAGTCCCTATTAAACAACTGTTGAGTAAAAGAATAAATACAAATAAATTTCAGAACTTATACAAATGAATAATGAAAATACTATATATCACAATTTTGGGAGACGATTATAGCAGTGATCAGAGAAAATAGTAGTTTTATCTCCTTAAGTCAACCTAAATAAAGAAGTTGAATTCCCACTCAAAAAGCTAGAGAAAGAACAAGAAAACACACAAGCATAAAGAAATAAATAATAAAGATACAGGTAGAAAGTTACAAGGTAGAAAACAGAAAAAGAATAGAAGTAAATAAAAATGCTAAAAAAATTTTTGAGGCAAAGGAATTAACAAAGACAACCCACTCGTTGACCTAATCAAGACAACACAAATATAAAAATAAGAAATGACAAGGATAAGGGGATTGTGATTGATATGGAGGAACATTTGAAAATCATAAGCAATTACTTTGTACACATCAATGAAAAATAAAATTTAAAACTCAATATATTGGGAGATTTCCTAGGAAGATGCGTGTTAGCACAATTGACTCCAGTAGAAATACAGAACTTGAACAGAACCATTTCCATGGAAGAAATACAGAAAAACAACAACACTAAGGCCAAATGGTTTCCCAAGGGAATTTTACCAGATAGCTTAACAGATTAGATACTTCCAATGCTATGCGGCTTGTCCTCCAGAGCATCAGCGGGGGAAATCCAAGGTTTTTTTCGTAAGTCAGGTACCATGGATACCTGCACCTAACGAAGAAAGAGTCGTGGAAGAAAGAGATGTCTGAGATTCATTAAAGGTACGAAAAGTGCTTGGATTTTATGGGCAATTCAGCAGGTCCTTCTGGGAGAGAAAGCCATGGGCGTGATCAGCAGCAGTGGTTCCCTGGGAACAAGGCCTTGATAAGAGCAAATGAAGAGATGGCAATTTCAGTAAAGAGGACTTTGTTCAACCCAATCCATAATGGCTTTCCTTCTTTCTACTCGAGGTTTGGGAGGTCACTGCAGCTCCAAAAGTAACAAATGAAAATCTTTAATAGAATATTCAGGAATGTTCAAGAGAGAAAAAAAAATTTTGTTAAGCAAAGCAGAGTGGAACCCAATGCTAGACAGGGGATAGATTTCTGTAAAACACCGAGTAACCTGAAATAGATACAGAATTCAAGTCACACGTAAGTCGTCAAGTAGGAAAAAATGGGATAAGAGGTGTGCGACTATATTTGAAAAGTCCAATTTTGTCAGACGGATATTTGAACTGAAGCCAGTCTTGTTAAAAACCAAGGCTAACGTATCTGCTTTCAAGCCTCTCCTGGGAACCAGAACCAGAACCAGCTCCTCTCTTCAGAACAAGGTCTGAGAGGGCGGAAGACCACAGGCCTGCCTGGCATCCCACTAGCTGGAGCGGGAGAGCGGTGTGTGTGTGCAGCTGACAGTGCCGAGGGTCACCAGGGGAGCCCCTTGGACAAAGATGGGGTAACCTGAGGAGGTGGGAAAGTGGGAGAGAAAGCAGTGTGGGAGAGGGCCCCGAGCTCCATCTGGTTTTTGATTGTGCTGAGCTGTACACGGCAGCGAGAATTGCATGCACGGTGACACGCAGCTACATGCCACTAATGCCCAGCGAAACAGCCATGAAGGGCCCTGAGAGAGTCGGGCCATGGGTCTCCCAGTGTGAAGGCTGTCCAGGGAAATTCCTGAAACTGGGGATCGGCTCTAACGCATGTGATCCTTCACTCAAAATATTATGAGCGTGTTAAAACAAAACAAAAAATATCTTGACTACAAGGTCAGCCAAATGTTAGGAGAATTCTATATTATTACCTATAAATAGTGTAGGAGCATTTATACAGCATCTACTTCTTCCCTTGATTATGGTGTCTCCATTACCCAGGACTTAAATGCTCTCTGCCCTCCCTACACATGTATGCATTTCCTAATCAGGGGGACAAAGTTGGCCTTATTGTATGAAATTTATTCTCCTGGTATACATACTAGACAACTTCAAACTACTGACAAACCTCCTTAGATATTAGTGGCTTGGACCAGGCAAAGATAAATGCGTCTAATTCAAAACAGAAGCGTAGATTTTAAATACTCTTTTTATTGAGTTGAAAAATTTTCCTATATAGCAACTTCCTGGAATTATTAAGGTTCTCTCTGTTCTCGGGCTTCTGAGGAAAAGAAGAGGCCTTCTGGCTGTGGTTGGAGGCCCATCCACACTGGTCTTTGATGTGCAGGGCCAACCACTGTCCCAGAGGAAGGGCAGCGCTGACCACAGCAGCCCACCGAGAAAGGCCTGCACCCCCACTCCCCACGCCCTGACCCTCCAGTCCCAGCGAAGGCAGATCCACAAAAATCCAGGCAGACAGTTCTCACTGCCGCCTTGTACTCCCTCGGACACAAATGTGTTTCTGTTCAAATACATAATCATGAAAGCACGCAGGCTCTGGTCCATTCAGAGAACTGGGGAGAGAGATAGCAAAGGGCCAGATGCGAACTCCCTGGAGGAAACACGAGGCTTCAGTTAAAGGCTCCGTTTCCAGCACCCTGGAGAAGAATGCAGCTGCGCGGTGCCGGTCCTGCTGCGAGACTTCACGAGCACTGGACACAAAGCACTGTGAGGCTGAGATGGATTTTTCCATCAAGCCGGGAAGTGGAGGACATGGAATATGTGACCCGCTCAGAAGCCCAAGCATCTCCTCCATCACCTGACGCTCCTTCCAGGCTCGTGGGAAATGGGTGCTGTCTCAGGTCAGCCACCCTCCTCCCAGTCAGACCAGGAAAGGCACCCAGGGAGGGAACAGACATGGCTAAAGGATTCCTTGAAGAAAACAAACAAATGATGGGAAGAGACGTCGGCAAAGGTGATCTGCAAGTGATTTCCAGTCCTTGTTAAACCGGAAACCCACTGTTTGAGCGCACAAGCGTGCACTGGCTGGAAGACCATGCTCTTGGGAGTCCAAGACCGTTCAATCTTTGCCTCAATTCCCCAACCGGAGTGAAGTCACATTTCAATCAACAACTCCCTCCCTCTCTCTTCCCCGGGTCTCTCTGGCTCAGGATAAGATGGTGAGGACAGCTCAGCTCTTGAGCCTGCCAGTCCTCACATCATTCCTTTTCTTTGAAGGCCATGTTGGAACTTTGACTTCCCTCGATCTCTTAAGGAGCACCAGGACCTGCCATCACTTAAAGGTCTCTCTCCTCCACATCTAGGAGAGCTGCGGCCCTGATTCGGCTGCGTTGCTTGCAGTCGGTCCCCTCTCTGTCCATCAGTCTTGCTGGCTTCCTTTGGAGCTAGTGCCTGAAATGGAAGAGCTGGTAGAAACAGGTGCAAAATCCAGTTGGCCTCAAAGGGAAGTCAAGGCCATTTCTCATCATAATACTGCCCATCCACTTTCTGATTCTGCTTCTTCTTCCACTTCTCTAGCTCTGCATGTCAGCAAAAGCCCATTAGTCTCAGATTCAAAGTCAAATTAGGACAAAGGGAAACACACACCACACACAATCAGTAGGATGTGCAGGGATCTCCTTGGCTCATGGAGTTCCCTGGCCAGCAAGTGCATGGTCACTGCTACAGGGAAAAGCAAGAGCTCCTAGAGTGGACTAGTGAATAAACATGTCTGCAGGATGATAGAGCCATCCTACTTTGGCTGTAGCCCCTA